GAAGACCTATACAATTTTTTTCTTTTTGATTTTTACCTGGATTACTGAGATGCATCAGGACACCACTAACAAATGTTAGAAGAAAAATAATATCATTGCACACAAGCGCACACTCATACACATCGAAACATATTGTGTTCAGAATGATTTGACATTCTTAACCAGGGATGGCCATGGCAYAGGCAGTACAGGCAAATACTAAGGGTGCATAGGGGAATGGACGAATGGACAGTCCCTGTTCTTTACCTTTAACACAGAACAGAAAGGTAGCAGGTTGTGAATRCTATTTCAGCCTGGAAAGACTCACACAAAGACAGACTGAAATTAGGAGGTTTATTGACATGACTGAATTAGCAGGATTAGTGAGATGAATGACATTTTGGCGCTCAGAGCCCAGCAGAGGATGTGAGCTTAGATGAGCTACTTAAGATGAGGGGTAGTAGTCCAGAACCTGTTCATGGAGGAGCAGCTCCAAAACCCTTAATAATAATTTTCTTTAACTTTGTTCACAGAGACACTGTTTCAGATTTTTATTTTTTTATTTTTTACAAGCATGGCTTTAGTGGACAGCAGTGAGCTCAATGTAGGATCCAGCAGCATGACTCTATAGCCTAAATTTTCAAACCACTGCATGCTACACCACCGGGTGATGAGAATGTTCACACAATCAACATATCAAAACATAGAATGAAGTGGTAGGCTTCATTGTTGTTTGGGTTTCTWGATCACTGAGAGAAGACACGCACAAAATAGGATTCTGTATCATATTTCAAGTCAGCATTCTAAAATGAATAAGATTATGAGGTCATCAGAGGTACAACACAGGTTGGATGACTGGGAGATAAGGTTAGAGAGGTCAGACGGTAGTCAGGTGGTGTTTACATGTCCAGAGGAGTGGATATGTATGTTAGAGATGCAGCTGCCAGGAAAAAGACAAAGAGGAAGCAAATGGATGCAGAGAACAGAGTAAGATGGAAGAGGACATCTWGCTGTGGCGACCCCTGAAGAGAGAACAGCCAGAAGGAAAGAAAGAAAACTTTTCTCACCAAAAACTTCGTTTTGTATGTGAACAGGGAGCGCACTCTAGAACGACAAAAATATCTGGAGTAATGTGGACAGGGCCTTATTCTACAAAGTTGCACATAATCTAATATTTCAAGTCTGTTTAAATCTATTTTATTGTCGATCAATATTTTTATCTTTCCATCTGAAGTGGTTTGAAATAATCCACCACTACCTCACCCAAAAGACGTTTTTAAGTCCCCCTCCAACTTTGTGATTGCCTTTAAAAAATGTTTAAAGTAGACGTTAAACTTGGACATCCACTGAGCCCGACTGGCTGAAGGGCCACATGTAACCACTGATAGCAAATGCCTCAGATAAAAGGTTCCAGCGGCTCTGTGTGTCTCATAAAAAATGAATAGTTCAAGCAAAGTGGGACGTAATGGACCCTCATTACAAGGAGAGACCGGATTCACATTAGTTCAGCGTCACCCAAGAGAACCGTGTTTCTGCAGCTCCAGAAGATATAACCATAAAACTAAATCTACAGTTTATTTATTTTTGTACAACGTATTAATTTATTCAAAATATGTTGCTTTGGATAACTTCCAAGTCTCATGAATCCGCTTGTCTGTAATCTGTTTACTCCTTCCAGACACTAAAAACAAGAACACACAAGCTCCGCCTTTTAAAATTTATTATTATTATTATTATTATTATTATTATTGTAATAATTGCACTTGTGTTTGTTTCTCCTCCTGATTCTTCCCCTGATAATTAATAAGTTAATTAATAATACTGTGGGCTACAGGTTCAGTTTGTCCAGGGTCTTCCTTTCAGTTCCGGACTGTCCTTGGGCTTTGCTGCGGTCCTGTCTCTTGCCGGAGATCCGGGCTCCGCTGCCCGGACGCCGGTCCGGTTCTGCTGCCCTCACCCGTCCTCTGGCTGTCCAGCAGCAGGTTCTCGTCGGACCGGTCCCTRTGCAGCTCCTGCATGCTCTCCTCGTACGTGGGCAGGTATTTCACCTCGTCGTAGGCCGGCAGGTTCGGCGAGGAGAAGTCCCCCAGGGTGCAGGGCTCCGGGTACCGGTCCAGGAGGAAATCCTGGGACGCGGACGCGTGGCCGTGGAAGAGGGAGGGCTCCTCGCTGCGGTCCGGGTTCTGGTGTCGGCGGGGCCGAGGGCAGATGATCCGCTGGATAAAGTAGCCCATGGCGAAGAGCAGCAGCAGGATCAGGATGCCGGACAGCTTGCGCGTGAACCAGCCCACGTTGTCGAAGAAGACGTGGATGGGGAGTTTGCAGCAGCGCACGGCGGCGGAGGCGCTGCCGTTCCCGGACGCGATGGGCGGACAGCACCGCTGGCCCTCGACGCACTGGACCTCCCCGCAGCTCTGCAGGGCTTGGCAAGCCGAGATCAGGCATGCAGAMAGAAAGGTTCTGGTCGTCCCGCCGCCGCCGCCGCCCAGCAGACGGGGCTTCATTCTTGGATCCTCCAACGTGCGCAACCGGTGCTGGAAATCCGCTCAGGTGCGCCTTTCCTCCGCAGAGCCGAGCGGGACAGAAGGCAGCCCCCACYGCCCCGCCCCTGTTGAACACAAGCTGTCTGCTGTGGGCGCAGGGAGCAGGGCAGCATCAGAGTCTGCAGGGAGGATCGAAGCGAAGGATGAAGAATCTTACATCACTGCTACATGAGGGTCTTTCTATTAGGTTCCCCTCAGGTCCCTCCACAGATCAGCCTGTTTCTGCAGTCCTGCACAACAACCCATCAGCTKGTTCAAAGTTTACTGCAGAGCTCCCAGGATTTATGATGAGGTGTAAAATAAAACGAGGAGAGGGAGTGACAAGTGTAGGTGGGACATGATTGAAAATTGGTCTTGCACCAAAAAAGATGATGATTCAGGGAATATTTATTGTAGATGCTGCTGGACTTTAAAGTATCTGAAACATTTTCTTTCATTTGGCGATATACTGTATACACAGCTTCAGAGTTTTAATTATTAATGGTTACATTATAATGAAAGTGGGATTTTAATATGAAGWTAAGATTTGATGTTTTTAAACCCAGCTACACTTTAAAATATACGTGTAAACTCTATTGAATTTTTACTAACAAGTAGCTAAAAAAATAACCCATCCTCATCACATACCACTAACAAATCAAAAANTTTTTTCTTTTCTTAAAATTTGAATAATCCTGCAGAAATAGTCTCTCAACTCACCAATGATGGCTAGATTTTCTCACATGCTGGGTTTGAGAGTATTTTATCTATGTACATAAAAATGCATGTAAAATTGGTAAGGAAAATTTACTGTGCAAGCTATATAGACACACACCTTACCAAAACCAGGGATTTGTGTGCAAGGATAATGAACAAATACTTGGCCCCTCGGTGAATATTGTGACCCCTTGATGGCCGCTTACTTAGAAAAATCCTAGATCCGCCACTGATCTGTTGTCTATATGCTTTGAGTCTTTTGAACCATTTTTGATTACATATATTTAAATATATTTGGAGGTTTGTCTGGGATCTGAACCCATTGAGGCCTTTTCCCCAAATAGGTTATGGTGCCTGCCTGCATAAAGGATGGCTTCAAACACTCGTGGCAAATGGATACCAGACAGTTGTGACATTTTAAAATAAATTTAATGGGAATAATATTTTCAAACCACAACTCTCCTAAAWAGGAAGAAGGAAACCCTAAATAAAACAAACAAAACAGAAAAAACTTAAAGCAGTCAGTTTGAAGTTGCTCCTCTTTACCAAAATCCAGAACAGGACTGTTCAACAAAACAACATGGTGTCAGGATGGCATTGGCAGGAAGGAAGGGGGCGGAGCTTGTTTCTGCTGTTTTAATAGTCAAACAATTACATATTGAAAGATGAAACATATTAAAAACAGACTAGCACATTCATTAACTTTGGCAAATATTTGTCACAGTTGTATGAGGTTAGACCCATGCAGACAAAACACGAGGAGCTTCAAAAAGTAAACTTCATTTTACGACAAAAAGAAAAGAAAAGTTGTTTAGGCATCTTTAAAAAACGAGGAGCAGACTCTGGGAAGGAGACTCAAGGAGATACAAGGAGACTGAACTATGTGTGAGAACATATTGCTCGACTGATGAGTGAGAAGTGGAAGAAAAAGTTTTGGGCTAATGAGAATGGAGAACAGGTGAGACAGGTGTGGCAGGAACCTGTTTGAACCCAGGCAGTACCTTACAAATCAAAAATGCGTAACTATGGAAAAGTTCTGGGTGAAGGGGCTGGAGTCAACAAGGAACCCAGGGGAACAAACACAAACACGAGGAAGACCAACAGAAAAGAGCTTAAAACAAAAGACACAAAAGCTGTCACAAAACAAYGACAATGGGAAAGCAAGTGACGAACAGTCTGCTAGCTAAGCTGCTCAACAAACAACAGTGAATGATATTTCTGGATGTGGTGAATTTATCATTAATTTAGTGGTTGGGTTGATTGGCCAACATCCTTTTCCAAAGACTAGTTTGATTTGAAACAAAATCAATGTTTGGTTCTCTTAAAATCATTGGTAATCAGGCAGAACTGATGAGCCCACATCTTTTAAACAGGAGAGAAAAAATACATAGAGATGACACAATTTTGTCAAGTCTTCACTGGGTCAATTTGAGTATTTCATCCTGTCCTGTCCTCATGTTTCTATTTGTCACTAAAAGCCAATGTGTATACCTTTCTTTTCCAAAGAATGCCTAATGCACATTGCTCGTAATCTAATTACACGAGCATTATGACGTTAGATTCAGGACAAGCCCAGCATCATGTTTCTTTCTGTAATTTGCTTCAATTAGGGAAACGTGATCGTAGGGCAGTCCTCTAATCAAATAAACAATCAATATTCAGTGGATTGTGACTCTGAGAGTTAAGAAACCTCCATTTAGTCCAGCTTAGGTTCTCTCAGYGAGCAACGATTTTACAGCTTTTTCTTTATGGCAGTGAAAAAATAGAAAAACGCTGCAGCTTTTTTGACACAGACATGAATAAGACGTTGATATTTATTATAAAGTGAATAGGACATGTAAAAGAGAGATACGTATTGGATGCTTTTATGAAGGCAGCTGTTGGGACTCCACCAAGTCCTTAATGAATTTCCCCAAGGAGAAAATAATGTATTTTTCGTTACATCACATTTATTTTCTACACTCTTTTGTTTCTGTTCAGAGGTTAGGTCAAATGTCATACTTTGGACAGATTGCCAGTCCATCATAAGGCCACACAAAGACAATAAAAAAAAACAAACCACTGCTCGCCCTCACACCTGGTCACCATTTTGAATCGTCGGTTAATTTAATGTGGATATTTGTGCTGCTTGTCAAGAGGGCAGCTGACTCACCCAGAGCCTGAGATCGGCAGCCTTTTGTTGTGGAACAATAAATCTGATGAAAACCCTAAAAAGTTATTTTTGAACTGTGGGAAGGAACAGAGGTACACGTGGTACGGGGTAACATGCAATACGCAGCTGGGAGTCAAACCCAGAACCTAGCAACTGTTCTAACTAAGTGCACCATTATGCAGCCCATATTTTATAGTATTTTATATTGTTGCAAACTAACTGAAGACAAACTGCATCCAGAAAGTAAGAACCTATTTACACGTGACTGTTTTTTGGAAACAAACAAAACAATAATCACTTGTTTACATGGAACCGCTACAGTAATGGCAAGTTTGCCAAATAGGACATGGTAAACTGTTGTACTGTCCTGTTAAGATTATTTTATTTTGACCCAAACTGCCATACAGGCTGAGTGATGTTATTGTGAGATGATGGTGCGTGTTGCATAAAAAAAGAGCACTGATCATGCAGCGTCTGCAGGATCACAGTTAAATCCAAACAAATGAACGTTCCTTCACACCTAGGTTGTTTTTGGTGTTGCTCCTACATGCTGCAAAGGGTGAGTAACACAAAAAAAAAACACTCTGCTGCTTGTTATTTATTGCAGTTGTTGTTTTAGAAGAAACATTTTGCTGTAGTTGCCTGCGTGCAGGCTGTGTGTGCATGCACCGGTTCACACCTACGGAGTACTTCACACCTTCATAGGGGGTGTTACCGACAGTTCCACTCTGACCCGGTTTCAAAATGTGCCAGTGTCAAAGACAATCACCAAGCGGCTGGATTGCAACAAGTGTTGTGGTTTTAATGAGAACTATCTCCATTAAAACGTCCCCTAAAACAGACTACGGAATGTTTACTGAGAGACGATTTATCATGGGAGCTGGACTCTCCCTTAGAAACAAAGTGAGAAGTTCAGTTATCTGGGAGAGACTTGGAGAACTGCTGCTCCTCCACATCGAAAGAAGCCAGTTGAGGTGGTTTGGGCATCTGGTAAAGTTGTTCCCTAGATCAGAGGTTCTCAAACTGGGGTCCCAGGAACCCCAGGGGTCCGCAAGCTGTAACTTGGGGGTCCTCAAAAAATAGGTTAATTTGGTTTTTAATTTTAAAAATATGCATATGGGGAACAACGCACTAGTAAAACAAATACACTAAACCAAACAAAAAAACACACAATTTCTATGAAATTTATGGGTTGAAATGATAGTAAATTATTTTTAAAACAGCATGGGGTTTATGGGGGAATCCCTGGAAAATTTTCACCCTTGTAAGTGGTCTCCAGACCCAAAAAGTTTGAGAACCCCTGTCCTAGATGCCTGCCAAGGGAGGGGTTGTCCAACATGGAGGAGACCCTGCAGACCCAGGACACACTGGAGACACATGTTTTTCAGATGGACACTGGAGTCCTCCCAGAAAAGCTGGTAGAGGTTGCTGGGGAAAGAGAGGTCTGGGCCTCCCTGCTCAAGCTGCTGCCCACGCAACCTGACTCTGGAACAAGTGTACAAATCAACAACATCGGGTAGATGTAAGGATGGAGAGATGATTGCCATAAAACTAAGAAATTTATTCAGTAAATATGTTAACACCATTAGCATAAAGGTGACTCGGCTCATTTGCATTAACCTACACGATCACTTGAAGTTCTTGCCTCCAGTGTGGTCTGCAATTAAATGGCTAACACTCTGACTTCACCACAACACGGCAATAAATTTGCTTTTCTGTAAGCTTCTATTAATCTGGCACAAAGGTCTCTTTTGTTGTGCTCAACAATGCAGTCTTATGGAGTCCATTAGGCCTGTGTGTGGATGAATGACACTGTTCATTTTTATGTGTCAAAGATGTTGATGTGCGACCCGCCCAGCAGACAGTGTCATGGTTATCACGTTTGCATTAATTATGAAACAAAGAAAGCTTTGTCAGGCCTCTGGTTTTGTTAACAAGCCCACTGGTGGTTCTGGGTTGGGCTTTGTTGGCTCCGGAGCAGAAGTCACGACCTCGGGGTTGCTGCTCTGAGACCAGCTTCAGCCCCTTTAGTTTTTTTTGTTTACACCTAAGGAAACAAACTGATTGCACAATATGATTTATGCTCTTTCATAACCTGATAGTGCTRTTTGACTTTCGCAGACATGCGACRAATAAAGATSTATACTGTTTTGATGTGCTGCATTTGAATTGTCAGACAATGAAGCAGCTGCTGGATGACGTTYTGGTTGGTTCAAAGTGTTTAAATACTGCATCTGTGTAGGATACTTCTGTGGGCGTCGACGGCGTCTGTGTATCCCCATCAGCTTGAACTCTAATAAAAAGCGGAGCCTGCAGTCAGTGGAGATTTTGCGAATCCAGAAAGTCCCACACCACAGCTATTTCACACCCACATACTTCTTCTAATCTTATCGCTCTGCTGGCTCGGAGGCTTTAAAGTGTACGGACTGTGTGTTCTCAGAACGTGGGGCAACCGTATTYATGTTTTAGTTTGATTGAGTGGGTGTTTTTGTCTGATTTTTATTTTTTGCACCAAAAGTTGCAAAGATAAATATGATACGTGTCGTCCTTCAGGTCACTTATGTCTTGTATGAACTTTGTGCTTGTGAACAACTGTGAAGACTGGTGTTTAAGAGAGAATGTGCTTCGCT